TTTTTTTTTTTTTAAAAAAGCTAACACTCAGGAATTCCTCTTCTTTTCCTCCAGTTCCACTTTAAAGATGTGAAGTTCATGCAGCATCAGGCGGAGGCTTTCACCATCACGAACGACGGACAGGTGCCCTGTCAGTTTGAGTTTATCACCAAACCCAACGAACCCACGTACTGCAAGCCCTGGCTCACGGCCAATCCTCCAAAAGGCTTCATCGCTCAGGGTGAGGATTAGTTCGCGCCAACTTGGCGCTTTACTCGTGTAAAAATAATGGGGGGAAATATTATTACATGAACTGGTTCCATATGTAACATCAGAGTGATGCTGACCTCAGATGTTCTAGTTGAGTTCTATATCAGTGGTGATGATCTCAGACGACAACTCCTCTGCCAATCAATGATCAAATATCTGCAGTTTCACTGACGTGTCGTTAAAAACTGATCAACTCTACGACTAGTTCTTTCAGAATCAGTTGTTTATCACAGTCTGATGAGTGTATTAAACCCTGTTGAAGCTCAGCTTCAATGGGGCAACAGTTGGATAAAAAGATGATTGGACAAACTGTTTGAGAAGCGGAACAAGAATTTTTTTTCTGTGTGGATGTTGAAATGACGTCCAGAGACCAAAGGTTTTATTCATTTCATTCCAGGAGCTTCTGTGGACGTTGAGCTCGAGGTATTCGTAAACCGCTCCACGGCGCCCAAACTCAACTCTGGCGCGGAAGAGATTGAAGACATTTTGGTGCTGCACCTGGAGCGGGGGAAGGACTACTTCATACCCGTGACAGGGAACTACCTGTCCAGCTGCTACGGCACCTCCATCCTCTCGCTGTGTAATCTGAAGGAGCCCGTCCAAGAAATGCCGCAAGAAACGCTCCGCAAACTGGTCAGTGCTCAAGAGCCTTTTTTTTTTTCGTTGACAAATCACATTTAATTAATTGTTGTATTTTTTTTTTTTCTTCTTTTGAAGGCTGAAATGTCTCTCGGTGAAAACGCCGTCAGCACCGAGAAGCCTCTGGACATTCCTAAAGAGCTGTGGATGATGGTGGATCACTTGTTTCGTAACGCAATCAAACAGGTGAGACTGTTGTTCTGTTGTCATTGAAGAAAAACACTACATTTCCACTGTGGTTTTTACTGTTCAAAAAATGTTGACTCTTTCATCCTTTATCAGTTAGTGCTGTATTTGATTAACAAAATGTTTTATCGCTCAATTACTAAATAGCAGTGAACACTGTTTTTGAATTTTAATGTTTTAAGATTTTATTTTACAGACAAATTTGACATACACAAAATTGAAAAATGTATTAAAATTGATATGCTTCAGTAAAATGATCAAGAACATTGAGGAGGCTGTTCGGAATCTGGGCCAAAATCAATAAAGTTATTGTAATTTCTACAAACGTCTGTTTGGTTTTTAATCATAACTTTTATTTGAATTTCTGTGTTTGTGTGTTTGACCTTGTGTTTGCAGGAGGACATATTTCAACAGCCTGGACTCAGGAGTGAATTTGCAGAAATACGTGATTGTCTTGACACTGGTATACCAGATTCTCTACGTATCCTTGAAGAAAGAGCACCCTCTACAGTAGACCAGAGGCATTGAAAACCTGTGTTTGGATGCCCTTTTTCTGTGGTGCAGAAAAACCAGAATTTTAGTATTCATATTTTTTTTTAATCTCAGGTTTTCTTTTGCAAACTTAAAAAACAAAACAATTGACTTGAACTTACAGTACATCTAAAAGTGTAATGTTCATTAAAATCGTGAAGTTACATTTTGAATTCCACAGCTGTTATCACTGTAGCCTCCTCCAGTTTCACCTCCTTAACCCTGACTCACAGCCGGCAGTAATCACTCGGTGGCAGAGGCTTTGCTCCTTTTTCTAGATGCCCTCCCAGAGCCTGTGGTTCCTTATTCTTTTTACCCCCAGTGCCTGGAAAACTGCTCCAGTGCCAGTCAGTGTGAGAAAGTGAGTGCAAAGATATTTTTTTCACGATGTGTTGAATTTTAAAGGTCATTATCTGATTTTAAAAACCAACTCTGAACTCTGTCTTTCAGATTATTTCCATGCTACCTCGGTGCCATGAAAACGTGTTCAACTATTTAGCTGCCTTTCTACGAGAGCTTTTAAAGAATTCCGCCAGCAACCGATTAGATAGCAAGATCCTGGGTAAGAAAATGAAGCATGTGAATAAAGCATCCATTTAGGAAAAAAAAATAAGAAAATGAAGCATGTGAATAAAGCAGGAAAAAAAACCCCGACATTCCGCTGGAGTCTAGGGTTTTTTAAGGACAAGAAAGAAACTATTTTTGTTCAGAGATTTATCAATATTCCTTTTATTTATTAGGATGTTGAAAGAAAACCCACGCCCTCCCTGACAGTTTCCAGACATGTGCCCAAATGCCCCATTTGAACATAAATTGCAATTTTAAATAAAATTCCACCAAATGTGCAAAGTATAGTTAAAGCCCATACCTGCCTAAAACTTCTGCACAACACTGTACTGTATATTAACATGTATTAGTGGTGTTCTCAGCTGTGTTTTTTTTCTTTTTTTTCTGTGCAGCCACTATTTTCGCCTCCTTGCTCCTGAAGTCGCAGAAGAAGCAGGATCTTGGCGAAAAGAGAAAGACTCAGGAATTCTTTCACCACTTCCTGGTCCAGGGCCCCTCGTAGATCAAGGACAACTGTCCGTTTGTCCGTGACGCTGGAGCTGAACACTAAAAACTGTACAAGTTCAGTATTTGAGATTACATCATCATGACTTTTTACATTGTTTGTATAGATTATTGAAAGTGACAATTCCTCTCTGATGCTAGTTTGTTTTAAAGCGACCTTTGTGATGAACAGTTTATTGTACATCTTGAGCTGAAGAGTCCTAAATATTGTTCAGTGTATCTAAAGTTTATTTAAGGATAATTTGTATTTTCATGTTTATTAATTCAAATGTGTACTGTTTGTACGAAGGAAGATATATATATATAAAAAAAGAAACTATGAAAACATGTTTTATGTGTCACTGAGTTTGTTAATCGTCAACCTGCTCAAATACCTGTTTGTTATTTGAACAGGTTGCTACTCCAGAAGAAGAAAGATGAATTAATAGATGCTTTGATTAGTTAAACAGCAGGACATTGTCACTGCTCATCGTCTTGTCGTTCAGTTAGTATTTTAATAATGACTACCAGAGTCATTCATTATTATTATTTATTATTATTATTATTATTATCGTAAACGTTTGTGGTAACCGGGAGTTTAAAACTTTAAATAAACGCACGATAATATCGATGTTATTGTCATTCAGCAGCTGGATAAAAAAAATGTTTTAATTGAACCAGGATTTAAAGAAAACTTTATTTTACATGTAATTGGCTAATTACAAGTTGTTGGTTTTTATGTACGGCGGTTAAACAAGATTATGGGATTCTTTATTATTTCACATCACATTAAAGCGCATACAGTGTTTAACGCCATTTATCTGTACTCTTTTAGTCCAGAGCGTGACGTGAACGTGAACGCATCAACGAGAAGTGAAAGTGGGCGGATGTGAACGTCTGCCCTGATCTGACCTGTGTTGTGTGTTGCGTTCACGTGCACTGCTAAACCTGTAGCGTTGAAGCTATTCTATGGATTTTATATAATTGATTTTTTTCTTGATGCGTTATATGTCAAATGCCATATCCAGAATTGATGACTTGGGGTTACGTGGCGACATATCACAACGATGTTATTGTGCAGTTATGCGCCTTTAGGGTAGTTGATTTCCCATAATCCATCACGAACGGCTAGGTCCATGACGTTGTTGGGAGTGGATAGGAAGAATGTGTTAAACATTCAAAACCACGGTGGATAAGACATATTTTTCGCCACAGGTAACTGTTTTTTTTCGTGTAAATTTATTTTTAACGCAGTCATATTGGTCGTGATAACGCGTAGCTTGTCATTTTGCTCGTGCCAAAACATGTCACATCCGCTGTCGACTGTAAACTGGCTAACGTTATTAGCCTGTTAGCTTCCCAGCTAACGTGAGCTAATGAGTTTCATTTCAGAAAGAAACATGTTAATTACTCTCGCAGGCTGAGACTTATATTGGAATATGTGACCATTTGCATTATGAGTGGTTAACCACGTTAGTCACGTTTATTTAGTGCACAATGGCAAACATTCTTTTTAGAAATAGTCTAAAGAGTTTCAGTTACGATGCTTAGCCACTGGCTAGAACTCATCTCTAAGACATGTTATGCTTGAAAGAAATGTATTCAGTCAAAAATATTTAATCATAAAGACCTCATATTGGGTCTACTGAGATATAACGGCTCACGTAGTCTGTCCTGCGCGGCCAACTGCACTCGAGTATCGTGAAGTTATGTCACACAGTCCGAGTCTGACATCCATAACCAAGTGTTTTAGTAGTAATATTTAAAAACAGCAGTTTGAACCTGTCTAACATTTCTGTGTGTGTAAAGAGTGTAGCTGCTGCTGCTGACTGTTTTATTTCTGATACAGACGTCAGTTTGCACTAATAAACTGATATGTTCTAAAGGGGCAGCCCCCCAAATACTGCACATACTTCAGTTACTTGTGTATCATATTCGCTGAATAACACTGCAGTCATTTGGGTATTTTTCAGTGGGTTCATATTAAATCACCGCTTTCTTCTTCTTTTTTTGACATTTATCAAGTTTTCAGTTTTGACGTTGAACTGAGGGTAACACCGATTTGTACTCTTTATTCTCCATGAGATTTAAACACGACTTTGTGCAAGTTCTGCAAAATATTTAAGAAGATTAGGAAGATACACTGAGGCTGGTTTTTTTTAGACTCTTGGGGGATTTTAGAACCATTTTGTGCTTTTTCTCTTTAGTTACTTTTAAAAATATACTTCATTCCCACTCATAGTTTTGGTCTGTAGTGTATGTGGAACTACTAACTTTTTGGTAATACATTTCACTCTGAAGTCTTAACATGTACATCCGTATGTAGTTCTGCTCTGTGAGCGTCAGTTTTTTTTTTAATTCAGTTTAATTTTGAAGGCGTTTTAAAAATGACAGCTAAAAACCTTTAATGGAGTTTTTGTACTCTTTTACATACATTTTGCCATTTGTTAGTTCTGTCACCTTGTTAATGGAGTAAAGCTAATATTAGCGGTTAGCGGTCGTGCTGAGGTCAGACAGCAATAAAGACTCTTCTGTTACGTAACCGCAGTAAGATTCTTGGTCATTCTCTAAACCTACACTGTCCACAGTCATGCGAATAGATGGCATTGGACCTTTTTGTTGTATCTTCTTTCTCAGTGCTCAGTGCTCAGTCCCAAACATTAGTTCTGCCTGATAGTTTTTCTGGCCTAATTTAAAAAATGGAGAAAAAAAAGATGCCTCTCTCACAAACCTGGGGGGGGGGGGGGGGGGGCAAGGGAGGGGGGTGTGGCACAGTTTGAAACACGCTGAGTACGATTATCATCTGTGTTGTTCTCAACTCCAACTGATGTGAAGCATCTGAAATTGTCTCATCTTTGAAAAGTGTTCATCACATTCAAATCTTACAGTTTTGATGCTTAACTTTCAGGCTGTTGGACCAACAGTTGTGAGTGCGTGTCTCCTTCCTCAGAAAGGAGCGCCCCCCTCGGGACCATGAGTGACAATGGCTCCCGTTCGGAGGCGCCGGTGTACTTTGCGGTAGAGGTTCATTCGCTGGAGCGGGACGATGAAGAAGAGGACAAGCTCCACTTTGTCAAAGACGAGGACTTGATCGCCGAGCCGTCGTCGCCGCCTGGGCGTGTGTACGACCGCACCACGGTACTCATTGAGCGTGATCCGATCCAGCTGGATGAGGAGGGTGAAGAGGAGAACCACTGTGGAGGCGACGATGACGGAAACACCTTCCTCACAGAGGGAGAAGGCGATGGAGATGAAGAGGACGGCTCTCTTGCCTTCATCACCGACTCTGACGGCATGTCCCAGGGTTACGTGCACCACACGATTTCCGCGGACCAGATTCAGTTCACCATCAATCCAGGATCTACCCCGATGCCCCGCAACATCGAGGGAGCCACACTCACCCTGCACTCTGAGTGTCCAGAGACCAAACATAGAGAGGTACGTCTGACAGGTCAGGACGCAATAAGACCAGATGAGACAAAAGGACAAGACATTATCAGATAAGACATGATAAGAAACATCACAATAAGACAAACCATAAGGTAAGAGAGAACATTGATAAAATATTACACTGTATAATAACCCATAGGTTCACGACTCTTGGACTTGACTGTGATCAGTCTGACTGGACTGACCCAAGCTGGGCCGCTGACCTGAGGTTGAAGCCTCCACAAACACATGCTGGATGTTGATGATGGGATTTTAAACACTTTAAAGTTCTGCTCGTTGTACGTGCGACTTTGTAAAGTAATCCTCCCAGTCAGAGGACAAATCATTAGAAGACACTGTCCTGTTAAAAAGTCCTGAACACAACAGTTCCATCTCCTTGTGTATTCAGTGCAGGGAAATTGGTTTCTTTAAAAAAAAAGAAAGAAAAAAACTGGACTCCTACTTCTATTCCCATTGCCTCCAGGCTTTTGTGTGCAGAGAAAACAGTAGAGTGCACCACCAGAATAGAGACTGGAGCTTTGAAACACACAAATGAATGGGACGTATTGAACTCGGGGCTGGAATTATTCCTGTCCTTTGTACTCGCCTGTTTTCATGTGTTGAAAGGCGGCTGAGTCACGAAGGCTGAAGTCGTCCTCTGGAAGGTCACGCTGCCTCCTGCTGCCACATCATACACATGGCTGCTTAGTTAGGCTAGTTAGTTTAAACTGTAAACCAACCCCCACTTTGTTACAGCGCTTTAGTTTTTCAAGTACTTTAACCGAATGTAGAGACACAAGATTTTCTTTGACAGTAACCGTCTCCGAGACGTCCTCGTCCTTTCAGTGTCGTCTGATTAAGAATTTATAAATATTTTCTTTGAAACCCTGGGAGCTGCTCTCCTGTAGCCAGGAAACAAGCCACGTGATCTGGCTTAACAGGCCCTGCAGCCTGACTGTCCTGTGGAGCCTATGACGGACTGGACATAATCCATATTTGAACTCTGCCAAAGTTTTAGTCGGGGTTTTTTTTTGTTTGTTTCTTTGCATTTTCACTGTCTCCTGTCTTTATTGCGGCTTTTGTTTTCATTGTCAAGCAACAAGATGTGTGTGGAGACGACTGCTCTGCTTCGTGTTATGTCATCGACCAGGGGGACAGATGTGGTGGGGGGGGTAGCTTAGGCGCCTGGAGGGGGTGGAGTGTAGAGGAGAGAGAAAAAACAAACATTTCTTGATGAGGGTTGGTGGAGGAGGTCAGGGGAGGACGGGGTGGTGTTGGGGGTGTTATCCTCAGTCAGTCGTCCCCAACCCGTTTATACCGTTAAATTTTCAAAACAAAACATTTAACAAAACTTTGTCTTTTTTTGTTAGTATCAAAGTCTGAATGGTTTTTGTCCTTTTGTTTTTAAACATTGACAGATTATCTTTGAATGGAAAAAAGTAAAGGGATATGACTGGATCTTTTTTTTTTATGTAGTCAGTTACTGACCTTCTTCTGCCCCCTGCAGGTGAAGCGATACCAGTGCACGTTCGAGGGCTGCAAGAGGACATACAGCACGGCGGGGAACCTGCGGACGCACCAGAAGACACACCGGGGGGAGTACACGTTTGTCTGCAACCAACAGGGC